CTGCAGCTCCCGCACCTGCCTGCGCAGCTGCTCCACCTCCTGCTTGTAGCTGGCTTCGATCTGCCGCAGCCTGTGCTGAATCACATCCGTGGGGAAGGGGAGCCCGTCATCGTCCAGGTAGAGAGGAGGCACCGGAGAAGGACATTTTGGCGGCACGTGAGGCCTGGTGCCCGCAGAGGTTTGCTGCTCAACCTCTTGCTACAGCAGCCGTAGGAGAGGAGGTGTCTGGGTGCAGGGTCCCCACTGGGGAGCGATGTCACCATTCCTTGAAAACTGTCCCAGTTGGAGCCCAGGAAGGAGAACTCGCTGCTTTGGCTCTGGGAAATGGGCTTGCGCCATTGCTCTAGCGGGACTCTGCCCAGCCGGCCGGGCTCCTCGCAGGGCACACTCCTTCCAGCATCACCTTTGCTGCTGTCTTCATCCGGGCAGGGGATGCCCAGGGCAGGGCCTGGGATGTCCTGACAAGGGGCGCTTGGTGCCAGGGACTCCTGGCTGGGAACGTCTTGGCCAGTGGTGTTTCTCTTGGGGCAGCCCCCTCCATTGGACACTAGGCCAGTAGCCTTCAAAGGTTCCTGGGAACAGGTCTCTAACTGCTTTCTGGAACTGGTGGAAACCCTGTCAACATTTTCCTGTCTGGAAGGATTTGGAGCTGGACATGTGCCATCCACTTCCTCCATGTATGCTCCATTTCCCTTTCCTGCCTCCAGAGAGACACTGCTTGCTGGCACAGAAGCCCAGCTGCTCAGTTGCTTGCTACACCCTTGGTGCTCAGCACGGCTGCTACAGATGCTGCTGGCTTGCAGGGGAGCGTTTTCCTCTTGCTCCTCCACCTGCCGTGTCTCTCCCGCAGCCGCCCCACTGCCTTCGCCCACAGGCAGCTCAGCCCCCTCAGCGGTGACATGTCGGGCTTCCAGGCCCACCCGGACTTCCTGACAGTGGTTGTTCAGGTTGGGATCACTAGATGTGCGGGTCAGAGGGCTGCTGGAGTCGCAGGCTGAGAGCAGGTCATCCATGGATCTTGTCTTTGGTAACCTAGAGCGCAAAAGCAAACAAATCTCAGCACAAAACTCCTGAAACTTGCCTCAATTCAGTCGAAACCAAGAGGAGGGAAGGGAAATGTTCTTAATTAGAGGGTGGGGAGGGGTGGTGCAGCAGCACGAGCTGAAAGGCACAACACTGCAGTGTGGCCTCCACAGTCTGTCTTTAGGTGCAGCAAGGAGCTCTACACGTTCTTCAAGTGGTTGGGACAACACTACAGAGCTCTTGCTCTCCACAGCAAGTCAAACAGAGGAACTACAACGAGCAAGGATGGAAAGAAGACCTGTGGGTGAGCGGCAATTCCGGCCTGGAGCTCCAGGCTCTTACCTGTCCAAAGATCTGCCACTGAACTCCTGGCTCTGAGATCCAGGGGGCAGGTAAATGTCCATGTCCTCCTGCCCCAGAGGATGCGGCGAGGAAGCTGGGAGATACACTGCAGCCCAGACGTGCAGCGCTCGCACGTGGCACACTGGATGCAGCACCTGCAACAACCACTTACGATCAGTGATGAATGCAAAAGGAAACCCCTCCAACCTCTCCCCACGCAGTCCCTGGTGCCTGGCAGGCGGAGAGCCTGGGAAGCTGGGCCAGGAGCTCTACTGACCTGCTCAGACCCTGGCATATAGAGAAGATTGTGGAAGTTCTTGTTGCCCGCCCGCAGGAGGGACCACACGGAGCAGGTACGCTTGTAGATGTTGTGCATCTCTCGCTCGCAGGGGCTGTTCCCAAGGAAGGTCCCATAGAGGCAGGAATACGTGTGCTGCACCAGCTTCACCTGCAGCATCAGAAGGGGAACAATCGTCAGGGTCATTGGGAAATGGTGTCTCCTCTCTACAGGGGAAACATCTTCCACTCCTCTGGGATCCCCCGGGGCCGGCTCATGCCCTCCCTCCCCTGCCGGTGACCCTGCTGCTGTCCTCTCTGCCACACAGGGCAGGACAGAGAGGGGACAGCAACAGGAATCATTCCAATTAAAGCAAAAGCATCAGTCAACTGATACCAAACCCATCCCTCTATAACACTTAACTCTATTATTTTAGAAGACAGTGTCTTGGGTGTGAGCTGGGCCAGA